TGAGCATGCCATGGGCTCTTTAAGCAATAGGTAAAGTAGCTTGATCAACCACATTCTCAGGATAGTTATTCCAATGCTTGATGTGACTGCACTTAATAAAACTTTAATATTTTCACCACAGGGAGCCTTTTTTTATTATGCAAGATTTCTATTGGCACAATGGGTTCTATAAAATGACTTTTCTTACTAAAGTACCATTGTGCAGCTGGGATATGTGTTTTTTTTTCAAATTAACCTTGCTAATGCTATTTATAGGAATAGTAGGCATGGAATTTTTGATTTTATACTGAAAAAGGAAACGTTGTTTCATAGGACTGAGGAGGGAACGGAAGGTTGTCTCTCAGCCGACTGAGCATTTATCCACAATGCAGTGATTGCACTTTTCTTCTCTTTCTCCCCTTCTCACAGCCACTGCCTCTTCCATACATGGTGCTATTAGCGATACTAAAAGTAAGCCATGGGAAAAGAAAAATTCCGACAAACACAAGGGCACTCTCAGGGTAAATAATGAAAAAGACAAGCACAGACTGTGATGTAATGTATGTATCAATGAAAGATCATTCCAGTTTATTTCAACTTGGGTCTTATTTTATAGTTTTGGCTGTCATTTTTATCATTGATGATAACGTATCACCAAGTAACTGTCATGATTTGGGACGGGTACAAATGAGAACAGTAAGAATCCACAGTCTGCCACAGCTATACTGAAAATACTGGGTATCTACTCATGCATGTTGCTGCTTGTACTGTCATGTAATTGTTACTTTTAAGTAACATTTGTTTTATCTAATTTGCATTCTAATGGTTTGTCTATATATACATTGTTTTCTCTTTGTGTGCATCTTGTATGTATTTTAATGTTTTACCCATCGGTGTGCATTGTGTTAAGCTCTTTGAATTGCCGTTGTGTATGAAAATGTGGTATATAAATAAATTATTTTCTTACCTGATACCACTAAAAACCATTTTCACAGCAGACAATTTAACGCGTTAGAGCAGGGAAAGTACTGGTGTTACAATGGTTCTGTTCTATTGAATTCTATTGAGTTCTATTCTGTCTCAGTAAGCCAAGCCAGGGAGGCAACAAGACCTGAACTGCTGCCACATTCTCTGATCTCGCAATTCATTTGGTTAACCCATAGGAATGATGGCCAAAATAAGGCCCAAGTGGTAAAAATTTTTAATTATCATTTAAGTTAAAGCTTCCCTTTGCAAGAGAAGTTTAACAAGAAAAAGGACAGACACTTTGAAAGAAAAACAGAGAGAGGCAGGGAGGGGAAATGAGAGTGAGACAAGAAATGTATCGGTGTGGAAAAATGTGTTATCTTCTTTTGACTCACATTTGTGTGCCAGCCACAGGGAATCCTTCTCTCTCCCAGTTCTGTTGTGTTTCATTCAAGTACAGCTTTGCTGTTAATAATTACAGAGGAGGTGATTCACCAGCAGAACAATCTGTTGCACACAGAACTGTCTCATTTTAATAATTAAAATCTACTCTTGTGCACATTTACAAAAATTACATATGTGTTCTGCAAGACTTGGTGAACACATTCCCAGCAATGCAATGTGTAAGCATGGTTATGATTGGCAGGGTCTGTTCCACAGGAGCAGTAATACAGCACATGACCCTGTCATATGTGGTTTACTACATTTCATCTCAGCGTAGTCGCTCTTTCAGATGATAGAATATACTGCACTTCCAATGTGTGCACCTCAGCCTGTGGGATTTGACCCTGTAGCCTCCTGGGTCAGCCTTCAGTGCTGTCATCATAACACAAAGTGGACACTCTCTCCAGCTCTACTTCTGTTACAGCTAGCCGTCAGGAATAACAACTGAGGACCCAGTAAACGCAGGACTTGGACACAGACTCAAGATCAAAATGATTTTTAATCAGAAGTGGTAACAGAAAATATTAAGATGTAGTGTGGACGTTTCAGCTGGTCACAGGCGACTGGGAGCTGTGTTGACTGGACCGCTAGATGAGCAACCCGGGGTACACGGCAAGTAGATGCAACTACTGAATAGAAAGCAGAGGAGGAGGGTGAGAAGACTGAGCAGATCAGCAGTGAGTCTTTTATATGGGAAATAATGACGAGAACCTGGGTATGAGGAATGATAGCTGTGCAGGGAGGCAGGAGGTGGTGAGGTGCCTGCTGTGGTTCACAGAAGATTCACTGCAGCCCAGCTCTACGCCAGTGTGGGAGATGTGCCTGGGTAGCCGAGTCGCCGTGGATGGTGCGTACAGTCCCACATGATAATCCTAAAAAAAGCTCAAACTTGCAAGGAGATCACAGGATTCAGTAAAGCAGACAAGAATCAATTCCTCAGAAACAGTTCATACGAAAAAATACTCAAGGGGATTTCCTCTGGCAGAAAGCAAATACGTAGTTCAGTTCACAGTTCAGAAAAATGCACAAAACAATACAGGGATTACCAAGGCAAAAAAGAGGAAACATAGGTTAGACAGATCGGAAGCTTACAGCATATTTGTGGGACATCGAGAGATCATCTGGCGATGAGAACACACCAACGCTCTCCTTAAGTAAAGCTCTGCTGACTGGGAGCAGGTGTGCCTTGCTGCCAGGAGCACTCCAGCACCTTTTGCGGTGGAGCTGTTGATGGACCCAGGGTTGGCGGATGAAGTGCTGGGAGTGCACTGATCCATAGCCATAACAACTTCCTGGTCTTTTTTTAGGTGACAGGAGATTAACTGAAGCACAGTATAATTCTTATTGATGTGCACTGACTTAAAAATTGGTGTTCTAATATTCTCATAGTTGGATATTGCTGCACTAAAGAGCTCTGCATGGGAAAAATTATACCCTGATTTGAAAGAGAAAATCAAAAACAAGTGGCCTTCACATGTCTCGGATGAGGTGGCTCTGTTGAAGGTAGAGCTCAGTGTGAGGCAAGCACAATTACTCTGTTGATAGTTGTTATATTTAATTGCTTAAGTTTATTTACCATGCTGGTAATTTTAGTACTTATTCGTTTAATCTATTTGATATTAAAAGGGGCAAAATTGCTAAAAAATGTCTTCATTTTCTGATGGTGTGATGGTGTGTAGACTGTGTCCATGGACCTGCAAGGTGCGAACTACAGTGGAAAATGAAATGTAGTGCGTAACAATATGAGATGTCAAAGGGCTGCTACAGTGTGTGTGATCACTCTGCTGATGGGAGGTTGAGACGGAAACACGTCATCACTGCTGCACTGTTTCATTTTTCAGTTGCCAAATATCTTACTGTTGTGATCACTTTTATTTCTGGCGTTACGACATTATCGTGTTGGCTGGGAGATGTACACGCACTTCTAATGAGATCAACCACAAATTATCACTGTACAGTGTAATCTGTAGTGTTTGATTAAATCACTGTTCTTTAGTGTTTTCTTTCCATCATTTTATCCTCTGCTTAAGAAGTCCCCCTCACTACTCTTAACAGTTTTCACCTTAGGTGTTCTCTTAGGGGATAAGATCATTTTTGAATAACTTTTATCTTTGATAGGGTTTAGTGTTAACTTTAAGGTTAAATTTTTAGAATACATAACAATTCTAAGAATATTCTTAAAATTCCGTCACTCTTTGGGTTTTGGATGCCTTGTGAATATGGGCCCTGGTGTAGTCAAAACAGTTTGATACTGAACACTCTGAAGACAGTGGAGATGCAGAAGCAGGCCATGGTCCATACCTCCCAAATTTCAACAACGCATCATACCGGATGGTGAATCAACCAAGCTGACTGGTTGATCCAGCACCTGTCAAAACTCTTTTGGTGTCTGGATGTAAACCTGTAGAAGTTGCACTTCAACACCACAGTCAACATTTTTTCGGTCCTTATATCACTGAAGTCACACTCAAGTAATCTCTGTGTTATCTTTGATTCTGATTTAAAATTTTTATTTCCTCTTGCCTTGACTATTTTTATGAAGGAATCGGTCTTATCCCATGGTTGAAAATTGAGCAGCATGGCTCCTCACTGGTACCATTTAGAGAGACTGTACAGAATTGATGTTAAAGATTCTTTTATATATTGTTAAAGTACAGCATAGACTGATATCAGGTATGTTTCTGAACTCCTCATCACTTAATCCAGCTCCAGAACCCTCAGATCTGCTGACCAATCACTAATCTTCATTTCATCCTGTTACATTCCAGGGGTGATCAGGTCTTTTCATTTCAGCATTTGGTTTTAAATGTACGCTATAATAAATAAATCAACTTGACTTGACAGTACTGATATTTATGTGATAGGCTAAAATCAGCCAGTAGTATTGGCACACTCATATTTTAGCCCAGCTCTATTACCTTCTGTAGAAGCTGTTTCTGCCTCTGTAACACATGGCTTTTGGTGGATTCTTTCCTCCAAAGTGTTTGCAGTGCTGTGAGGGTGAACATTTTTAGCATCACTGACCCCAGTGGGATTGACCTCCTAACCCAGCAGTACAGTTACAGCACACTCAGCGCTCACCCTTTACAACACAGGAGCATCTACTATCATTTTCCAAACTTGAAGGAAACCATGTTCTGTCAGACAGTTACTGTATTTGAGGACAGTGTTTTTCATGTGAGGTTTTTGCCCAGAGGTGGTCACTTGTTCACATAACTGGTTTCCGACTTTCATAGACTTCCAAAGCTGCTCTCTTTCTAGAGTGCCCACACATTCAGTGGGCTGATTTTAATCAACTGAAGAGGACAGTTTTATACGGATACATTGTGTTTTCTTCTCATCTGCGGATATGTTTTAATGTATCAAGTAATCTCCCCACTGGATGCCAAGCATTGCATCCCATTTGTCATGCAAACTAAAAACTGGATGAACTGCTCTTTCAACAGGTTTGTTCAGACATTTCTGTGGATGGTTTGTAATTAAAAATGGTTGGAGTCAGAACACTGTTCCTTTGAGTTTCACTATGTCCTCTTCACCAAAGTCTTTATAGGTCAAATGTAAAGTGGCGCTTGTTTCTGGTTTTACTCTGAATTTCTCTTTTTATATTATAGATGCTGGATCTACACATGTGCATGAAGAAGTATCCAGGTGAAAAACACCACCTCTGGCAGTCATGAGGAATAGAGGGTATGTATGTACTAAACTTTGTTTTCACATTACCCTCCACCCTTTGCACCTGTGAGCAGATAAAAAACGCACTCAGAACAACTTTGTATTGAAATGCAGTGACCCAAACTGCAGCATCTGCATTCATTATGTTTCTCTACTCATGTTTTCAGGCTAACCCTAAACCTTTAATTTATCACCTGTCTGTATGTCTGCCAGTCATTTTGTTATGGAACACTTCTGGAAATTCCACACAACATGTAGGCCTATGATATTTTGTTTATCTTAGTTCAATTGGTGTAAGCAGTGATCGGGTGGTGACCACTGCAGCAGAGCTGTCACAACACACCACACATACAATAGTAATGAGAAGTGTTTTTCAGCAGTAATGTGAATATGCCTTAGAATGATCCTGTAGTATATGCTGCTGAATGAGCATACATACAGTAATGTGTCTGGAACTGTTAAGACCTGTATGCTAGAATCATTATGGTAAATCCCTGTTAGTGACAGGAGCGCAAAGGATTATAGACCAGTAGCAGGTTAGAGAGAGACAGATATGCATGAAAGAAAATGTGTTGTTGAGTTACTGGAATAAAGTACCATTCATCTTTTCACATTGAATGAAGTCTGTTTGCTTAACACCCAACCAAATACAACAGATTCATTTCAACAAAATGTAAAATCCTTTCCATTTTCAATTCTTATACTTGATCTGGAGCGTTTGATCATATGACACTTTCCTCATAGCTTTCCCATTACAAATAAACAAATAATATTTGCATTAAAGATTATTATTTATACTTTGTGAACAATTCAAGAACAGTACCTAAAAGCTAGGTCATATCAAAGATACACACCTCTGACTGATATATTGGTCGAGTATCAGGTGTGCTTGTTGGCACACAGTGCGTGACTGTACCTTAGCTTTTGACTTTGCCTCTGACTGTCTGTCCTGCTGTAGATGGCTGACAAGACCTGCTGCTGCTTCACCAGCACGTGCTGTTAGTTTAGTACCAGCCTCAGCTGGGTAAGGGTGGAGTAGAGCATAGACGGACTGAGCAGTAAATCCATGCCGTGCTCATCCATCAATGTGCCAGTGTCTCGCTTAGCTGAGCTACATCCCTCCTTATACACGTTTGGTGGCACATGATTAATCCTACCTCTCATATTTCTTCTCATGTGTCAGCACCTTTGCTGCTTTATAGGCTTATTCTGAAATGAAGTGACAGTTCAGCTCTGAAATATCACCAAATTAAGACCGCTGGCATGTGTAAACAACACAAATACACACTGAGAACCATAAATCAGATGGAGGGTGATGCCTAACATTAAAACTTTGTTGACCCTGTAATATTTAAAGGTTGTTTTTTGTGATTGAGCCTTTTTAGCTGAATTTATATTAGTCATTTCTCAGCCTCACTTAGCTGACTACTTATTATTGATGATATTTGTGATGTTGTGTGGATTAGTACCTGAGAAATTGCTTTCATAATTCACATGCAGATTTATTCTAGTATAGTAGGTCACAAATAAATATTGGGGAAAGGCTATTGTGCTGTTATGATGGTATTTATGAATAGGAGGAATATTATATGAGGCATGTAACAGAGAACAGTTGAAAACACAATTTGATTAAAAATCAAATGATTAAAAAATAAAAGACACCATTTGCACCATAATTTTATCGTCTTTCTAATTCAGTCCACTTTATATTCACAACAGAAATTTGAAAATATTTTTTTCTATTGTGTAACAAATTGTAATGACTCTTTTTCAAGTGAAGAAAAAATCATTTTTGAGCAGCCAGTATTTGTGGAAACAATAACTAAACAAGGCATGGCCTTGACATTTCCTAGCAACAGTGGCTACTGAGAGCCTGTGCTAGGATCAATGTGAACTTCTGGTGTGTATTATATAAAGAAGCATTGATACAAAGTGTTGTTCCACAGATTTTACCAAGCCCACATTTGTTATGTATCCTTAGCAAATTGAAATCTGTTGCTTCACAACATTCATCATTTGAGAGAACATATCATGTGTGAAGTCTGTAGAGTTGGTTTGCCCAAACAGGTGGTGGAACATATTTTCTAGTGGGCCTTTTAACCATTGGAGAAGAAGAACAAGATGACATTAAACCTCAAGTGACAAGCTGATCTAGTTGGTCAATTGCATATAAAAATTTGTTTTCACTTCATTTAGATTTTAACAGCACTACATGATTCATATACAATAAGTTGGCAGTTTATTTATTAGTACCTAAAGCCATCTAAAACAACAGTCAGAATCAGCTTGTCAGTCAGTATGTTTAAACACAAAAGGAATTTTGACAACACAGTAAATTAA